GTGACCAGCGCCGTATATTACTTGACGTCAGTAGAAGGCTCGCGTGTTTTGCACGACCAGTGCGACCGAATAGCGAAGCATGAGGCTGCGTTTATACATTGCTGCAGCAGCAGCGTCCACAGGCGTTCCGATCATCCGGCAGCACCTGCGAATAAAAGTATAGATATCGATCTAGCGTCTGCAGAAAAGTATAGATATCGATCTAGCGTCTGCCAGCGTCCATCAGCGTCTACCAGCGTCCACCAGCGTCTCGAGGGCTAGGGAAGTATAGGTATCGATCTAGCATCTGTCAGCGTCTACCAGCGTCCACCAGCGACCAGCAGCACACTGCCGGTAGAGGGTGTGGTAGAAAAGAGGTGTGCTACCTTTCTATTGCGCTTTACTCTCTACCAGCAGTCACTCTCCTATCTCCTCATACTCTACCAGCTGTCTGCTAGCCTCCTATTGCGCCGTGCTCTCCGCTCCCGGACGCTGGTAGACGCTAGGTGGACGCTGGCAGACGCTGGTAGACGCTGGCAGACGCTAGATCGATATCTATACTTCCCTAGTCGCTGACGTTGCCGGACGCTCGAAACGCTGGTGGACGCTGCCGCAAAGTATGAACGCAGCGTTAAAGTACCCTGAAGCATCCACGCCACTCCTGCGATATAATTGCAGACTAGGTGCCGGAAGACTATTGCTGTCACGGCAGTAGTCTCCAGTTTTATAGCTGTTTGGACAGCCTCGCTACCGTTCACCGTCAGCGGCTCACGTACACCGTTTCTCTATATTCCGAACCCTCCAAGATCAGAAAGAAAGTCGAAAGTGAATAGTTGAATTGTTATAGTGCGCTCAGAGCGTCTCCCTTCCCCCTTTCCCCACCCTCCACCTTGCCCCACCCCCCCCCCCTTCCACCTTACCCTGTAATAAGTTCGCTGTAACAGTTTTGTTCAGGTTATCATACTTCCGCTTGATTGAAAGCTGTGTGAACGAAATCGTTCTACATAAGAATGGCGTTGATCCAGACTTTGATTCGCAGTTCCACTTCGAAACCCCTGTTAGCGAAATCATAGGTCAGTCGCAGCTTTGTATCACTGATCTGGCAAGTCCGCTTTTCTAATTTTTATGCAATTGAATCTTGATGGTTATACTCTCAGCTACCTATATTCGGTCACCCGTATTGCGAATAGTAAACGTGTATTTCAGAGCAGTTACAAGATGCAGAGTTTTCGCGCAAGCTGGAGCAAGCAGTCCAGGCGAAGCAGGAGGCGGTTGCCAAGCAGATGCAGTACTGGCAGAAGCTAGGATGAATTCCGTAAGGAAACGCAATTACTTCGGAAACATGTGTGTTTTTAAATTATTTCAGTGCGTTCAAACACCATCGAACATGCTTTTAAGTGCGAAACAATTTTCAGTGCGATTCAAACACCATCGAACATGCTTGTAAGTGAGAAACAATTTCAGATTGAAAACCCCAGCCAGCCCATCCCTCCTCCAACTGTCTGCACACTTCAACAGCCTGCTGAGCACAGTGTTCCGTCGACCAGTGAGTGAATTCGACTGTGACACCTTTATTCAGTCTTTGTTAGAGATCAGTTGACGTGCACATACTCATGTTTCCATTAGTGATTGTTCTGAAGGGGTATGTGACAAGAGAATCGTAATTCACCGCGCTGGTGGCGTCGCGTGCGACGTCGCGCCAGCAAATGACGATGGTTCCAGGTAGTAGATGGCGACAACAGGCAATTCAGAACCGAAAATAGTCATGAATGTCTACGATGACGGGGTCTACATGAAGTCCGGTGCTCCAATCGACAGGTTAACACGAGTTAAGAAACGCCGCGCGCGGCGGAGCGGCAAATTACGATTCTCTTGCCCGTCTCCCGCTCTGAGGGACTGTGATAGGGCGAGGTTTGAAGGTTCGGAGGATAAAGGAGGGGCACTTTGCAAATTCGTACCAGCGCCACAATGCTGGAATCTGTAATTTTTTGGGAGCTGCAAAATGGTATGAGCTCCATTTCCACTTCATCGTTGTATTTATCGGAGTATGGTGCTGTCCCGGAGTCTCATTTCTT